CGGTTGTTGCTGCACACAAAAAGAGAAGTCCCGTAGAGCGGGGGGGGGGGGGGGGGGGGAACCAACAAAAAACCACCAAAAAAACCAAAACACACCACACCGCCAAAAACCCAGCTGTATCCACTACTGCTGCACTTCTCAAATCAATGATACATATTTTGTAACATAAAGTTGCCCATAAATGAGACATGAAATCTGAGGCTGCTGCCAAATGCTCTTTGTAGGAATTGATGTCATTTCAGCAGCTTCCTCATGAAGACTAGAATCATAAATGAAGTTAGGAGTTCAAAATATCACATTAGTAATGACCATCTTCATAATTAAGTGTAGTACTATCCCCACCAGAAGAGTTTCATGGCACATGAGCAAAGAGCAGTAGAGCTGTACTGATTGCATGAAATCTAAACGTAACACCATGCAAGCCTATTCTGAAAACCAAAAATGATGGAATGAAAGAAAACTGACGGTTACATCCTGAAATTATTTTTTCTAATAAATGTCTGAGCTTGCTTCTGGTCTCTTAAGATGCAAAACCATTTTTAATAGCATATGGGTTTAGTTTTGTCAAAAACAGCAAAACAAAGACTCTTTAAATGCAGTTTTAACAATTGTACAGTAAGAAGGCAAGGTATTTTAAGGATTTTATTCAAAAGTGCTTGCACGAACTGTAAAATTCTATATAGAAACTGATTTCAATGAGACACACAAGCCTTAAGAAGACTCACCACTTTTTGAATGTCAGTTCACTAACTTAAGAGGAATAAAGTGCAAAAAAGCAGAGTGTTAGTGTCTACTCAGTACCTTGATTCAGTATTAAACACTGCACAATCTAAGAAGGCAGTTTTAATAAAATACTTCAACAAAGCCCTTTTTGATATGACAAAAGTGAAACAACTTTTGTATGGGTTGTGTCAGAAGTAATGTAGTTTAGCCTGCAGAACCATTCTAAGAAAAATACTATTTAAAGATCAATAGTAAAACTGACAAGCAAAAGTTTGGGAGGTTTTTTAGGAGGGTTGTTTTGTTTTCAGGGTTTGTTTGTTTTGTGGTTGTTTTTGTTTGTTTGTTTTTAACTAAAAAGCTTCTTACACTTCAACATTTTTCTGCTGCAGACCAGAAGTCTTCTTGCCCGGAGCAGCACCTCTCATCTTCCCCTCTGCATATTGTTCCCTTTAAAATAAGAGTAAGTTCGTAAGAAAGACTTTAATGGAAAAAGAAGCTTTTTTCCCCTTAAAGGGTAGCAGGTTATGCAAAACATTTAGATAATGTCTAGTAAATGGCTTTGCGAATCAGTATGCATCACAAGCAGGAACAAATTCAACTCAATACCAAGAAAATTTAGTCTTCTTCATACAACACTTAGCAGTATGAACACCCATTTCCTCCCCCTCCCACCATCCTTGTTATTCTGAATCATGCAGAAGCAGCACACTGCTTCTGAAAAATATAAACCAGCTTCTCAATAAAAGCATTTCTATTAAAGAAATACAATATTAGCATTCATAAAAATCAAGGTATTTGTAGGCATCCTGAAGCTGTCTGAGAAGATCCTTACCACTTAACAATATATTTTAAGGATACTGCACAAGGGTCATTTTTAGCCACCTAATTTCCACATTACAGGATATACTTGCAGTTAGTCAGGCTGCCTCGCTGTTTCATCAACCCACTCTTCCTTAAAATTTCAAGTCACCATTTTAAAATTAAGTAGCAGCTTGCTCTTTCTAAACTGCTAGAGGACGAAGATCAGAACACCTCTGTAAACCAAAACATCTCAAGAATAAACAAACATATGAACACCTCTTGAAGGCTTTTTTTTTTTTTTTTTAAACTCACTAACTTCCCTTGATATATAGTTGTTGGATGGAAGCTCTATAAAAAAAATTTACTGACAACAATTTCTAACAAAAATACTTACTGATTGGCCTTTTGAAGTTCTTTTTGTTTCTGCAAATTGGTATCCACGTATTTGAGCACTCTGCTTTCTGGAACCCATTCATCCCAGCTGAAAAAAAATTTTAAAAAGTCAAATGATCATTCAAAACATTACATAATTGCATTCTACACGCAACAGTCAATTAAAAGCTTCACAGAATTTGAGACTGAACTCTGCTTTCGTATCAAGTCATGGACTGGCACAACTGAAAGTGTAAATTACCAAACGCATTCCCCACTTACTGAAGCTGTAATGATTTTTCTAGGGAAATGTAACCCTCAGTCATTTCCAAAGAGTTTCCCAAACTTGAAGGATGGGCAATTTAGGAGGGAGGGGACTGTCTTTAATTTAAAAGAAGCATCTCAGGAAAATAAAAATTTTCTACACTTGCTAAATTATGGGACACCTGTAGCCATAACTATATTATGAAGCAAGTTTCCTTTATCTATTCCAACATTTTATAGGTTAACAAATTCAGCAATAAGATCTTACTGTAAGAAGAAGAGCTCTGATTTCTGTCTGTGAAGGAAACCAAGATGGCATGAATATTTGAAGAATCTGAAGTGAACGATTTAAGAGAACAGGTGTTGGGGAAATTGCCATTACGAGCAAGAATTCCACTTTGACAAAGAGTGGATAATCTGAGCAATCTGACAATTTATTTCAAATAAAACACATTAAAAGTGGCCAAGTTATTCTGAAGTATGCAAGGTAAAACTCTATTTATATAGAGAGTTCTGTGTCATTTTCATTTCATGGCAATAGCTGCCAGTCTTAGAACATGGAGGTGCACAAGAAGTACAAGGTCTTCAAGAGTGTTAAGACAAGGCAAGCTTAGCATCCAAAAGTTAGAGAAACATATTTTCAGCTGTACACATTCTAAGACTATGTTTTTAGGTTAGTGCTTTGGTCAGATATTTAAGCCACTTGTCTTACTCCTGCCTGTATAGCTGCAAGAGACCTTCAAAAGAAGTGCTATATAACTGTGCAGCACATTATACTGTATGACGAAGAAACTTTTTTTAGTATCCTAACTGTTGATATTTGCAAAAAAATTAAGAAGTCAAGCAATTAACAAGTAACAAAGGACCATAATTATAGAAACCAAGATTAAAGAGTCATATTGCCCCAGTTGTCTAGATCTTGCAGCAACGCCACTTTTAATGTAGTTAATTGGAAGCTTGAAGGCAAAAAAAACTCAAACAGCGCAAGCAAGAAAAGCAGGAGTCACGACATCACTTACGGCACCCTTCATCAGAGATAAACAAGGAGAGGAAGTATCAAATTTATGCTGCCTCAGTAATATACAACAGCCACCAGAAGAACCAATTAGACTCCCTGTAACTGTCAGTGTTTACAATAAAACATTTATCTGTGCATTCAGCAGGGAGGCTGTGCGGATGCATTTAAAAAGTTACATACTAAAACATGAAGTTCAGCTTTTAGTCATGTCAGTGAGATCAAGATACTGGTGACTAAGAGTCTTCACTCTAGAGTCTGCAGCATTAAAATGAAACAAAACAGGAAAGCGCTCTCTGAAAAGAATTCTGTGGAGTCTGAAGAGCTGAAGCTTTCAATTGCTAAGAAAAACCCTCCACTTTTCCTAAGTTCAAAACCTAGTGGTAGAACAGAATTCAAATGAAAGAAAAAAGACAAGTACATAAATGCAATAATGTAATGAAAGTATTCACCTTTAATGGGCTCAACATTTATTTCATGGAGACGCCTTTATTCTTCAGCCTCTCTCACCTAGAATCCTACCATTTTTGCAGAAGGGAAAATTATTTCTAACTTTACCTCAGCATGAGAGGCAAGAGCTGAAATACAGGCTAAGCCTGCTGCTGTGAAGGACCAAAATAGACAGCCTTTCCCATTCTGAACACAGCCTTCAGTAAGCCATGCTTCTCCAAATTTCTGCTACCAAACTTCTTTGCCAAAAGTGGTATAAAAGTAAAGTTCACTGTGTATTTGAGTAGAGTTTTGCTCCACCTCAGTAGGGGTTGCCTCTCCTACCAACACTTAACAAGGAAGTTTTTGTACTAGCTACTGCTGCCAGGGAGGAATTACAGTAACTATTTTCAAACTTGAACAAACAATGCTATAAAGCATCACCATTAGTCTACTGACACCCTAAGCCAGTTTGTCTATACAAAGCTCTGAAGGGTTAGTTAGGCAATGTTTTCTTTGTGTTACTATAAATCATTGGCTTATGTATAAAAATCATTTAGGTCAATTTCAGAAAATCTCCTAAGGACAGGGACATGGTAGTGCTAGTCCATCAAGCTCACATTCAAACTGACAAAGCTTGCGTTTGCCCCGTAAAGGACAATGAAATACTGCTTTCATTTTATGCAATACTTACTTTTTATTCCAACCACTGTAATGGATAAAGTATTTCACTTGCTTGTCCTTTATGGCAACCTTTACACACTGGAACGGAGAAGAAAGTTCAGTCAGTACCAATGAGAACAAAGAGATCTGAATGAGCTTTGCTTTTTTAGCTTTCAGAGTTTAAGCATGCAGAGATTTCCATGCAAGCGACTGAAATACCAGCAGCTATTTCACAGCAGAAAGTAAGTTCTCTAACACAAGTTACTGCCTATTTACAGATTTGGAGGGGCTAGGCAAACAAGCGACTCTACTCAGCTATCCAAAGGGACACCTTCATTCACAAGAAGGATCAGAAACCCCTGAGGATGACCAGAAGAGTAAACAAGCAGTCACTTCACTACCCCCAGGTTAGCCAAAAGCCATTCACTAGAGAGCTTGTTCACATGCAGGCCCCTACCTCACAGACAGGTAAGCTGGCTGAAGTAGAGGAGTCTTCAAAAGTAAAATAAATAATATGGATCTCTACAGCCACAGAGAGAGCATTATATTCAGTAAAAAGATTTGCAGTAAGGGCTTTTTCTAGGTTAAGAATGTATACATGAGGTAAATAAAAACAGTTATTTCCATCAAAAGACTGGCCTATGAATACAGTAACTTCCTCATACACTGATACTAAGGCAAGACAATTAGAAGAGAGAACACACATATAACACGGTTGCTCCAACCACTCCACAGTATCATTCAGATTCAGAAGTGTCCCTCACAAACTTTTTTGCCTTACAGTTTAGCACAGACCTACTTGCAGCCTGAAAGACCCTGCCTCAGCTCAGAGGAATATGTTCGGGTGAGCTGGAACAACTGTGCACGCTGCCCAGTAGCAACACACCTTCCTCCTGCCCCTACAGTCCGGCACATAAGAGCTCAAGCTACCACGTTTACGTAAAAGAAAAAACACAGCCAGAGACATGCCTCTTCCTGAAAAAAAAAAGCCACCACCACCAACAAACCAAACCAAAACCAGCCCAGAACAGAAACTACATAACCCTAGTTAGTTTAATTATGTGCCCAGCACATGTCCCTGAACTTCTTGGCTATACCAAATTAAATCCACCAGCTTTGGCACTTCATCCAGAAAGTCATCAAGTCTTGTTCTGGAGATGTTGAGATGTAGGTGCCACTGTACCACTTTAACAATGAAATAATGAGGATGTTGTAAAACATGAAGAATCACCCTCTTTGGCTCTAGCTTTTAGTCCCTTTTTCAGGATTTTTTCCACTGAAGTAAAAAATTACTCATAGAAGTCATAATTGCTATTTTCTTGCCGTGCTAATTGAGTCACCTCCTAAATATTTGAGAGGGCAGAGCCCTCTGCTACACAACATTTTCTCAAGACCACTGTGGTGGCCTCAATGTGGTATACCCTCTTCCATTAAAAAAATTGTCAACGAGAGAGGAACATCATATTCCAGTACTAATCTCCAAAATGCCATATACGGAACTTAAACACAGTCTCACCCAGACTTGCAACTAGGAGTAAGGATATCCTAGTCCTGTTTACTATACTACTGCACCAGTGGCTCATTTTGACAGACCTGAAGTTAAAAGCCAGCCAAATACAGACTGCGTGCTTAAAAAGTGTCTACTTATTCTGAAAAATGTAAGAACTGAGCATGAAGTAAAAGAAGATTCAAATGTATTTCTGTACCAAAATCTTCTCCTTCCAGCTGGAGGTTAGAAGTGCCTTAAGTGAACCTCATTTAACTCTGCATTGTACAGAGAGGTACAAATAGTTACTGTTTGCCATAATTTTTCATACTACTCTAACACAAATGAGTGCTTCTCTCATCATCTTGCTACAGGAAGCCAAGGATGCTGTCATCAGAAACAAAACTTATGTATTGAGAATCACAGAAGAAAAATACATCAAAGGAACAGGAGGAAAGCTAAGGTTATTATTCATTACTACCTACAAAGAACCTTTGTAAAATTAAACCCAGTTCCTTCTGCCATTTCAGGAGCCCAGAAGGATCCAGACTCTCAATATAAATAGCCAGCCAAAAGCAATCATGCCAAATGGGAAGTCCCTTCCAGCACCAAGCTGGCAGAGCCAGTTCCTGCAACACTCATTCCACTCTGTGTAAAAGAGAAGAGGGGCACAGCACAGTATGAAGAAGCACACCACTGTAGCAGCTCAGGGCTGTTTAACTGACCAAAGAGTTAAGACTGCTGCTAACAGAAGTTTGTTTCCACAGAAACAGAAGCCTTGATTGCTCTCCTCTCTGTACTAGCACCTGGACAGGCACTGGCAGAAGACAACACTCTGAGCATACATTCACAATGAACTTGTCCTCCAGTTATAGAGCAAGGGAGAGAACAGAGTAGAATCACTCAAGAAAATGTTTTACACAAGTACATCCCCTGTCAGTGCTCTGGACATTATTTTAACATTAGAATTACTATTTCCTGATAGCATGAAAAGAGACATCAAGCGTTGCTAGCTGCCTCCCTACTAACACCTCTCAAGTTGTCCTATCAGTTAACATTTACTGACACTAAAAGTGGATGGATTTAAATCTGTTTAAGGTGCCCCAGGCATTTCTGCAAGTAGCTGTGTGAATTAGAAGACAAAAGCCCTCTTTTTCAATGTCAGAGGAAGTGGAAACAGGCAGTCAAGTTAGGAGCTATACCTTCAGTAAAAGAGATGCCATGGCAGTGACATCTGCTTATGGCCCACAAGAAATGCACATCATTGAAAGCGTGCAGAAGTCTGCAACTGAAGCAGTAGGAATACTCCTCCAAGTCACAAATTTGCAATGCATGGTTTCTGCGGTTAAAAACCCAGAACTGAGAATGCCACTTCCTTTGTCACTTTAATCCAGCATTATCTCCTGCAGCATTGTTCCATTTGAAGACCACTGATTGTACTCAGCCACCTACATCTCTGAGGAAGCTCAAACTGCAGCTAACTTACTAGCTCATGCATTAGCACCAGCACCAAGTCCTATGGGCACAAATACTTTCCAGTGTTCTGGGAATACAGGTGTATCAGATGTTCAACACTAAGACCACCCAGGCTTTAGTAGTTAACCAGAATAGCTGCATAGTACCACTGGGTTTTCTGAAATTTTTCTATAATATAGAGCTCCAGGATTTAAAACTGATTTCACACATTATCAGGTTTTTGTTCATTTTAGTTTTAGTCCTTAATCCCACCTAGTGAGGCACAGTAGGTAAACTAGTACAATTCCTTATTTTCTTGGGGAACAGTCAGAACCGTCTGCAGCAGTAAGCAACCACACATACCTTTGCTTCATAAAGGAGAGGTCCATGAAAACAAAGCACTCGTTCACCTGAAAGAAAGTTGCAGATAAACATCTTAGAACACCACCAATGTGCCATTTCTGTAAAATATGTCATCAAGTACAAGACAGCATGAACCTACTGTCAACCTAGGAAGAAATTCAAAAGCAAATACTGATTTGAGAAGCAGGCTGGTGTTTGACAAGCAAATCCACTCTTGTACAAAAGAGGGTCAGAGCTCTGATTATTTAGGCCGTGAAGGAAAGATTCCTGAGGACTCCCTGAAGAGCACTCATGCAAGGACAGCTGCATGCAAACGATGTCCAAGCCTGCCCAAAGTTCTGCGGAATGGCTGATTACTTCTGCAAACAATTGGCACCAGAAACTTGCATTCCTGCTCATACTTCCAGCCACTGTCAATTCAAATTATAGGCACCCTTGCATCCTATTGCAAGGCTGGCAACAGAGAACTCCTTCAAAGCCTTGAATTTCAGATGCAGACACCAAAACACGCTGGCTCAATACAAATGGACTACTTCAGCCTAAGTACTCAAGCAGTAAGCAGGTAAAACTGTCTTACTGTAAGGGATTCTTTAGTCTCCATGACATTGCATTTTGATTCAGAGCAGGAAATTATCTCTCATAAGAGATGTCACCTCTGCATCTTAAGCTTCTGACACAAATGAAAGCAAGTGTTGTTAGTGCGCCTTTTCCTGCAGGAGGTACACCACCTGGTATTTCTAGTTCAATGAAGTCAGGAAGAGAGAGATCCCCACATTGTTTCCCCATCCTACTTGTGGGATAGAAGAATGCCAGGTTTGTGCAACAGCAAGAAAAATAATTCACTTTGTGGTTTTTAAGTAGGAAGAGATTGTTCTTCAGTCTGGTTGGGGTTTTTTTTTTTTTGGTTTTGGTTTTTTTTTTTTTTTTTTTTTACCCTCAATGGCAAGGTCTTATTGTGCAGTTATGTTGTGGGAATTTGAACGTACTTAGCACAGGATATCCGAGTACAGATGTTTCCTTCTTGAAAGCTGCAGTACCTCACATTTTCAGAGAGACAAGCTGTGTAATACACTCCAGGGTGTAGCACACATCCAGTTCTGCTACTATTTCCAAGACACGCAGGACAGAAGAGAGCTCTCACAGTCACCATGTGCAGGCTGTGCAGTACACATATGCAGGTACTTATTCAGTCCTCTGACTGCGCTGGGAATGAGGTGTGCAAAAGCAGGCCATCTCACCAGTTAACAGAACTCCAGATGTCTTCTTCCTTGCGAGCAGCTCAGGAATGACTAGGGTGGAGAAGGACCAGTTCATGGGCTATGCGTTTAAAAGTACCCACCATTGTAAATTTTACTCTGCTCTTCAAAACCGCTTTCTGCATATTCAAGTGATAAATACAGTCAGTGGCACATTGTACCATTAACTTGAATCCTGTTCAATTCTGGCTTTATTTCCCTCTTTATCCAACAGACACATAACATGACATTGATGAAACTTTTAACCAGATGGGCTCTAAACAGACACTCGCTCTGCAAACAGAAATTGAACATCCCCACAGCTCAACTGTTTTTTTTTTGTGAGGGGGCAGAGCAGTTCTTGTAGTCATTCCCAAAACAAACTGCTGGCAGGATCAGGGCAGTTACACAGTTTATCAGGTGGCTGATGACAAACCACCTGTTTTCGCTTGAAGCAGATGAGGGAGGACTCAGACACACCATTTCACCACCAAGACTGGGAGACAAATTGAAACAGCAACAGGCTCTTCAACCAGCATGGCTACTATCACATTTTATCTAACACATCCAGACTCTGATTGAGCAAGATGCAACTATAAATTTACTATTCATTCCTACGCTGACTGAAAAGAACTGCTCATGTTTTAAGATTTCATTATTATCCAATCTGTAGGATCCCATGCTCTCCATAAAGCTGAAACAAGTATTCACAGTAAAGTCTAACAATGCAACTAGGTCAAAAATGTATTTCAACTTGTAAAATGTATCAAGAAAGAAAAAGACTTAGAAAGATTCTCACAGAAGTGCCCATTTTGGTACATGCAGTACTTTTACTTAAAAAAAGAAAACGTCTTTATAATCAGGGCTAACAATCAGAAGTTACATTATTATCCTCATGCGTCATACTGCTCACTAGTGCTACTCGAAAACACATCTCTATTTCAATTATTGTGCAAGGTCTTTCTAGGTAAGGTGTTCACAGTTACCAAGAATTATTTTATTTATTTTTAAAATCAGGATATGAATCTCAAGTTTTGCAGAAAGGGTTCTTCTGTTTTCATGATAGCCTAACAGGCTCTCACTCCTTCCCAGCACAAGGCCTCTCCTCTGAGCCTACAGACAATTCTCTCCTACACACTGCCACCACTGCAGCAGAACACCCACACCTATTCCTTATCCCAAAGACAGTATTTGTAGGAGAACAGCTCTTTAGCTGAAATAGCTGGTAGAAAATATTGGAACATGCTAGCATGCTCTGTTAACACCCCTAGATGCCAAGCTACACAGAGCAGTTCTGTTGCATACGAATGGCTTCCACGCTGGTACCTGGCCAGCACACATTGCTCAAACACCAGTTAGGCTCTGAACGGGCATGTCTTCTGGTCTCACCACACCATCAAAAAGCTTCATGTGAGGAAAAGCTCGGGGAAGTCAGAATTCAACTGCCCACTCCTTCGAGTATTTTACATGCAGAGTATTTATAGAAACAAGAGGTTCTCAATCTGTGGATCAACGATACAACCACCAATGAAGCCTTCCCATCCACGTCAGAGCTGTAGGCTAACTAGCATCTTCAGAACAGACCAGAAAACACAGCAGTCTCATCAGCAGAAGAAAAAAAACCTGCCTTAAGCAACTCAGAAGTTGGATCTGATATCTGAGACACTTTTGTATTTGCTTAAAAAAAAAAATCACTGTCAAAATGCAGAACACCTGAAGTACCTACAACCCTTAATTCATAGCTGCCCCAATGCTGATCTCATTTCTCATGCCTGCATAAATACATCAGCCCCTTCAGTTTAAGGGGTACTCATACTTCTAGCTTGACATTTTTATTTCCTAGCTCTTATAGGTTTTCACAAAAAATTCAGCCTCCTCCTCACCCTTTGCTTTGTGAAAAATGCCAATCTGGATAACTTCTAAGTCTACCTATCACTCTTTAATGTACACTTAGCTTGAAAATCTACAATTAAAATAATTTTCATTTGTCATGCTATGAAGGGACACAATAAAGCATTTAAGTTCTAGGCCTGCAGGAAGCTTTATTCACAGCACTTTTCTCCCTTTTTAATGTCACAGTTGAGATCACAAACATATTTACATTGCGGAGAAAAGCCTAAAATTTTTAACTTCTATACTAGAATTAGGTTGCACATATTCCTACAGCTGTGAATGTAATTTTAGCCTGGAATTCTACTTAAGTTTTAGTTTCTGTAGTTCACTTGATTTCACATTAATTACTATAATGTAAATCATACATTAAAATCTTGATTATTTCTGCAGGTTAATAATACCATTGGTATTAACGCATGGCATGGAATGCTGATGCATGATTGAAAACGTTCCGACACAAGCAGCCATGAAGCACACACAATTACACCGTTGTTTAAGCTACCCAGAACGGCCAGCTTCCAGTCATTCTGCTGCAAACTGCACTTTTAAAGATAAATCACAATCCTGTGGAAAGTCCTGCTTAGAAGCCAAAGTGAGGGACAGGTAGAGAAGAAAGGGTGACGTAAGTTTTCATTTACCATTGTCTAGCATTTTCATTTACCTATATTAGTATCAACCACAACCATTATCTAAAAAACCAAAATGTAGGCAAAATAAGTCTCAGGAAAAGCATCATCCTAACCCTTATTCATCTAGAAAAATATAATCTGGTGCTTTGTTGTAAATATGGATTCCCCCACAACTGCCAGCTGTAGTCCAAACACCGCCCCTGTGAATCCTCCTGCATAAGGATCCCTAACTGCACTCCCTGTCAAGGAAAAGCAAATAAAGACCATGTTTCAGACTCAAGAAAATAAAAATCCCGACAGACTTCAGAGAGTCCAACAGTTTTAATGCCAATGAATGTCTGTGCCTGCAAGAAAATGAGGCATATTTAGAATAGGACAGGAAGGCCCCACATCTTCTTGACAGGAAAGATGAGGAAGAGAGACAAAGACTATTGGAATTCATTTTCTTCCCCATATTCTTACATTGCTAGGGCTGAGCAGTGAAAGCTAAAAACCAAACCATCCTCTGTGCTGATGAACCATAAACATTGGAGTCCAAACCCGGCCTAGCTGAAGGCCTTATTGAAAGCTTGCCTCAGAGCCACAAGCACTGCGAGGCGGAGCACTGCAACTGCCCTCTGCTTTATTACAAAGGAGAGACCTGTCCGAGGGCAGAGGCTGCCTCCAGCCGGGGCCGGCCCCACCTGAGCCCCGACGGAAGAGGGCCAGGACTCGGCCTCTCAGGAGCCTCCTCCAGGGCCGCCCCGGGCCCTTTCGCTCAGCAGTGTCCCCACCGCAGGTACATCTCCTCGGACTGCGACTCTTCAGAAACGGCGGCGGGATTTCCCCCCGCCCCCGCCGCTAAAGCGTTTCCTTTGTTTCTCTTCGGCCCACCCACCAAGGAAACGAACGGCAGCAGCGGGTTGAAAGCCGGGCTTTCCAGCGACCGCTGCGTGATGCGGCCGCGGGAACCCACCGCCGCCGCCCCGCTGGGAGCCGG